AGTAATACTGCTAGAAGTATACGCCATTATGCTCGTTGCTAAGCTTACTTTATTCTGCCGGAGAGGGCAGTCTTTCACTGTTTCGTACAGACAAGTTTCTGATGGATATATACATAGCAAATATCACATTACTACACGTAGAATCGCAAATAATGTAATAAACAACCATATTTACTTCATTATTACCCTATTATCTGCACTTGATCCATTACTTTTCGCCTGTAATCCCCATGGGAGATGACTTTTTCTCAAATCTGGATTCTACATTCCTGTCTTTTGCGAGCAATGTCGCCGTTTATTTCCGCCTGGTTTTTGTTGATTTTGGAGTATGTTGTAGCTGAGACTATATGTTATCTAAATGTCCCCTCATTTTTTCAATCAGATGTCAGAATCACGCTCATGATCATCATCATGATCATCATGATCATAATGATGATGATCATCATCATCATGGTCTGAAATCTGGATTCTAAATTCCTGTCTTTTGCGAGCAATATCGCCGTTATTTCCGCTCGGTTTTTGTTGATTTTTTAGTATGTTGTAGCTGAGCCTATATGCTATCTAACTGTCACTTCATTTTTTCAATCAGATGTCAGGATCACGCTCATGATCATCATCAATATCATCATGTTCATCATCATCAACATGGTCTGATCATGATCATGATCATCAACATCATCATCATCATCATTAACATTATCATTATAATCATCATCATTAACATTATCTTTATAATCATCATCATCATCATCACCATTACTATCAAGATCATCATATCATCATCATCATCATCATTATGATCATTGTTTACATGTACATATCGTTATAATTTCTCTCTTTTTCTATATGGGAGATGACTTTTTCTCAAATCTGGATTCTACATTCCTCTCTTTTGAGAGCAATATCGCCGTTATTTCCGCTTGTTTTTTTTAAATATTTTTGAGCATGTTGTAGCTAAGACTATATGCTATCTAAATGTCCCCTCATTTTTTTCAATCAGATGTCAGGATCACGCTCATGATCATCATCATCGTGATGGTCTGATGATCATCAACATCATCATTAACATTATCATCATCTAACATTATCATTACCATCACCTTCATGTTCATCATCATCATTGTCTATAACTTCTCCCTTTCTCTATATAGTAAATATTCAAATCTATTTATGCTAGTAGAGTGCCTCGATTGCATCTCTTTCTTTCTCCTCTCTCTTGCTATGTTTCCCTTCTCCTCTCTTGTTCTGCCCCTCTCTCTTGCTTTGTTTCTGCATCCCCCTCTCTCTTTCTCTACTCTTCAGCCTCTCCCTTCCTTTGTCTCACTCCTTCCTTGCCTCCCTCTTTCTCTCTTGCGATGTCTCGATCTATCTCTGCCCTTCTCTGTTATACTCTCTCACCCTCTCCCTTTTCCGCCTCTGACTCTCGTTCTCCCTCTATTATGTATTCCAGTGTTCCCCAATCTTCTTTAACTTTTCCTTCTAACCTTTGTATTCTTGTTTCACCCCTACCATGTACTATAGAGAGAAACATGAAATGAAGTACATTAGTAAACAGGTCTATTCATTGTTAAATTCATGTTCAAAGCACTAAACAAAGTCAAAGCTAAATTGCATAGACCTATCTACATGCATGTAAATGACATTCTGCACCAAACTTAACATCACGCTATTTCCTTGGCAATCTAAAAAAAAACGCTATGCAATATTACAAATGGTAATCACCTATCATCTTCAAACACATTTTAAAAGAAATAAATTTTAAAAACAGCATATCCAATTAAATTTGATATACCAAAATAAAAGCACATACTGAAAAGAGCAGCATTGTACAAATCTCTGAAAAGGGCATTTTAACATGTATATATATTCAACAGAAATGGAATACATATATAAAACAGGTACATAAACAAGATACCTACTGATTATATGAAAGGCCCTCTACATAGCAAGTGAGATATAAGTTCAGATAAACACAATAACAATAAAACTAAAAAACAATGTACATTATGGATAATCCCTAACAGCCCTATATACCTCTTTGTTACAGCAAGCAAGACACTGCTATGTATAATGAATGCAGTAGATATTGACAGTTGATCGTAAGGTACAACTATATATGCGGTAAATGTTGCAAATAAACTGACATTATAATCATAATCCAATATTGACTATTCACGAAACAAACTGGATATGTGACCTCTAATGACATAAAATTGTAGTGTACAAACATGTGCCATTGAAAATCATAATCGTGTAATATATGACAATATAACAAATTACAGTGAATTGTCTTTCGCTGTACTACTAAGATCTGTTATCCTGATGTTAAAAAGAAGACAAACAGTAACTGTTATCAATGATATCCATCAGATTCTGTTTCATATATCAGCAACATCAACCAATATAAGAATTACGGTAATGCCAAGATAAGAAGAGTGACATGCATGTATAACTCCTTTTCCCCAAGGAGCATGCATAAGATCTATCTTTACAATATATCACTCAAAACACTGTGTGAATACAAGGATTTACAAACTTACAGAAAAATAAACATGTTAAATCCCCAAAATCTTGCAATGTATGTGCAAAGTTAAAACACAAATGTAATAAAATACATCATGAATGGCGCTTTGTTTCTGCATCCCCCTCTCTCTCTCTCTCTCTCTACTCTCTCTATACTATGCTGGTGTTCCATACTTCTGCCACAATGCTGTTTTGGTTACAGAGCCGTAAACACTCCCCAAGGCCTAGTCTTCGCTGAACCAGGGATCACCGGAGGGCTGAAGTCCTGGGGTGATGTTACCGCTGTGTGTTGGACGATGAGGACAGCCTTCTGACTGAACAATCAGAAACAAAAACTATCGTATAAAAATACATGTAGTTACATGGAAGTACACACAAAATCCCAAAATATCTTGTGTGGAACAAAGGTATATGTTTACATTGTCATACCAGTAAAAATAAGACTAAAATCACACAGAAACATGGTATCAGAAAATAAATGTAAGAATCAGAGGTGGAAAAATGGACATGAACACACGTTAGTATGAATAAAGAAAAAAAAAGTATGCTGAGCCATACAGAGTGGCATTCAAAATGTCATGTTCGAGATCGAGGCTACTTCTGCCACAATGCTGTTATGACAGAGCCGTAAACACTCCCCAAGGCCTAGTCTTCGCTGAACCAGGTATCACCGGAGGGCTGAAGTCCTGGGGTGATGTTACCGCTGTGTGTTGGATGATGAGGACAGCCTTCTGACTCGAGGGCGGTAGTTTGTTTGAACTGGTGAGCAAAGGGATTTGGTGGTGCACCGTCATTGGTGACTAGGGTTGTAGAAATGAGCTTTGCAACGTTGCACTTTGCAGTCATCTGAAGAAGTTATCTGAAGAAGTGAAACAAAAAAAATCATTTGAAGATTAGGAATATAAACAGTACTAAATGTTTGTTTTTGAAAAGTGTTAACCTTATTTATGAACGCATTTGACATAAAAAGTGTTCTGTCTATGCAACCCCAATGTAACATTTTCAAAGCAAAAAGATATGTCATAGAATTGCCAATTTACTCCAGGTGTGCCAATTTTGTGGGAATCAACAGTGTAGTGGCCAAGCGAGGTCAACCATCTATCCGGAGGAGCTTGAAATAACTCAGTACAGTAGTGTTAGGCTTTTTCAAACATTTTAGTTTGGCAATTCTTTCCTTACCCTGTATATGCTGGTGTTCCATACTTCTGCCACAATGCTGTTATGATGACAGAGCCGTAAACACTCCCCAAGGCCTAGTCTTTGCTGAACCAGGTATCACCGGAGGGCTGAAGTCCTGGGGTGATGTTACCGCTGTGTGTTGGATGATGAGGACAGCCTTCTGACTCGAGGGCGGTAGTTTGTTTGAACTGGTGAGCAAAGGGATATGGTGGTGCACTGTCATTGGTGACTAGGGTTGTAGAAGTGAGCTTTGCAATGTTGCGCTTTGCAGTCATCTGAAGAAGTTAACTGAAGAAGTGAAATTAAAAAAAATCATTTGAAGATTAGGAATATAAACAGTACTAAATGTTTCTTTTTTAAAAGTGTTAACATTATTAATGAAAGCATTTGACCTAAAAAGTATTCTGTCTATGCAACCCCAATGTAACATTTTCAAAGCAAAAAGATATGTCATAGAATTGCCAATTTACTCCAGGTGTGCCAATTTTGTGGGAATCAACAGTGTAGTGGCTGAGGTCAGCCATCTATCAGGAGGAGCTTGAAATAACTCTGTACAGTAGGGTTAGGCTTTTTCAAACATTTTAGTGTGGCAATCTTTCCTTACCCTGTGAAGGTCCCGATACATTACATGTATATGCTGGTGTTGCATACTTCTGCCACAATGCTGTTTTGGTGACAGAGCCGTAAACACTCCCCAAGGCCTAGTCTTTGCTGAACCAGGTATCACCGGAGGGCTGAAGTCCTGGGGTGATGTTACCGCTGTGTGTTGGACGATGAGGACAGCCTTCTGACTCGAGGGTAGCCTATCCGATAGGCGTCGGGCAAAATGGCAAGTGTACTAATCGCGTTTGGGAGACTGACATCGGCGCGGGCGTTAGCCCGAGCGCCTATCATCACTGGTCAATTCATCATTATTCGTGTATCGTATGTGTGACGAGCGTATTCTCATGCATGATTCATAAGACTAGCCTTATTTGGTGACCGATCACTTTGATTCAACCAATCAAATATCATCTCCGCGTTCCCCATCGCTCATTGGCCTATTTTTGTCCTTGCCACATAAATATTCATGAAAGAGCTTTGCAGGGGGTTCGTAGATTTTCTACGAACGAAACAAGGTACATAAAAGAAAATAAAACTTTTCGCGTGTACCAGTGATGATAGGCGCTCGGGCTGACCGTGCCAATGTTACTCTCCATATAAACGCGATTAGATTACTTGTAAAGCCCGACGCATATCGGATAGGCTAACTCGAGGGCGGTAGTTTGTTTCAACTGGTGAGCAAAGGGATATGGTGGTGCACTGTCATTGGTGACTAGGGTTGTAGAAATGAGCTTTGCAACGTTGCGCTTTGCAGTCATCTGAAGAAGTTATCTGAAGAAGTAAAATATAAAAAAATCATTTGAAGATTAGGAATATAAACAGTACTAAATGTTTCTTTTTTAAAAGTGTTAACATTATTAATGAACGCATTTGACATAAAAAGTATTCTGACTATGCAACCCCAATGTAACATTTTCAAAGCAAAAAGATATGTCATAGAATTGCCAATTTACTCCAGGTGTGCCAATTTTGTGGGAATCAACAGTGTAGTGGCCGAGGTCAGCCATCTATCAGGAGGAGCTTGAAATAATTCTGTACAGTAGAGTTAGGCTTTTTCAAACATTTTAGTTTGGCAATCTTTACTTACCCTGTAAAGGTCCCGATACATTACATGTATATGCTGGTGTTCCATACTTCTGCCACAATGCTGTTTTGGTGACAGAGCCGTAAACACTCCCCAAGGCCTAGTCTTTGCTGAACCAGGTATCACCGGAGGGCTGAAGTCCTGGGGTGATGTTACCGCTGTGTGTTGGACGATGAGGACAGCCTTCTGACTCGAGGGCGGTAGTTTGTTTCAACTGGTGAGCAAAGGAATATGGTGGTGCACTGTCATTGGTAACTAGGGTTGTAGAAATGAGCTTTGCAACGTTGCACTTTGCAGTCTTTTGAAGAAGTTATCTGAAGAAGTGAAATAAAAAAAATCATTTGAAGATTAGGAATATAAACAGTACTAAATGTTTCTTTTTTAAAAGTGTTAACATTATTAATGAAAGCATTTGACTTAAAAAGTATTCTGTCTATGCAACCCCAATGTAACATTTTCAAAGCAAAAAGAGATGTCATAGAATTGCCAAATTACTCCAGGTGTAAAGGGCCTCCTTCCTTTTTTTTCGAAAAAACAGGACGCTAAACATGTTTTATTTTTTTATTTGGCCTTTACAATAAATATCAAAATGCAATCTTAACAGCTTCGTGGTAACTATAATATGTAGGGATGACCTCTGTTTCCAATAAATCTAGTCCTTTGCTGTACACATGATCTATCATTGTTCCCTTCTCAGTAGTAGCATTTACAACATGCTGTTTGTAACCTTTATTACACATTAGCTTGTTTACCTGTGAAGAACCTTTAAACAAATCCTCATTAAAATCTCCCATCACAATACACCTAATGCTTCTTTTGTGTAATGCATTTAGCAAATTGTCTAATGATTCACAGAATGATTTGATACTATATGATGGAGGTCGATAAACAACTGAAATCACAACAGAAACTGGTTTGGTGACAAGAATTGCGATAAACTCTAAGTTGTCGACAGATATGTCTAATCTACTTGAATATGTATTCTTGATATACATTCCAACACCTCCATGCGATTGTTCTTTGAGTACATTTCCAACTCCAGAATTACAGTATGAAAGATGTCGTGGCTGATGATAAAATCGAAAGTTATCTAAAATAACGTCACAGAGATCATTATCATTAATCCATGTTTCGGTCAAGCAAATAAAATCTACATTCACAAATTGGCACTGGGATTTGAAATCGATAAAATGCTGTTTTAATCCTTGTACATTTTGCATTACCAAAGAAAAGTTATAATCGTGAATATCTTCAGAAGTTTCATTCTTGATAAACGGCTTCATAATCTCAATGCGTTCTTTAATTTCTGGATTACAATATATACGTTTAGGATCGAAATGTTCTATCACAAGTCCAGATAACGAAGTAACGCGACTAAGCCCAACATATGCCTGTCCAGATTGAAATACACTTTTTAATGATACAACAGCTTTGTCTAATGTCGAACCTTGTACTTTATGAATTGTGCAAGCATAAGCAAGTTTAAGTGGAAATTGTTTTCTCACATATTTCTTACCAATAGATTCTTGAGACATTTCGATTGAATGAATACCCACATCGGCCTTCTCAAAATTAACTTTGATGCAAACTGGATTCAAATTTGTATGATCCGTTATTATTTCTGTTACATTTCCAAAACATCCATTTGTCAGGCCTTTACTAACATCAATGTTCTTGAGCAACATCACTCTAGCATTAACTGCAATCCACAGATAAGAAGGCAACTGGGTTTTCATCTTTGTATAAGGTTTTTCCCGTATTTGATTTCCCTTTTTAACATCTTTGTCCATGTCTTGTGCTTTTACGCATATCACATCTCCACATTTTGTATGCAATAATTTCTTGTTCCAAGCATCTACTTCCTTGTTACATGCATAGATATGCAGAGCATTTTCACATTCTTCACCAGTCTCACAGGACTTGAGCATTGCTAGATCTTCATCACAGAGAATCTCATCCCCTTGTTTTACACGTAATCTATTTAAGAGAAGAGCGAATTGGGTATCGTCTTTTTGTCTCATAATGTCTTCAAGTTCTACTTTCTTGAAATTAGCATTCCACAATGCACCATTGAGTGTGTCTTTATATAAAGGAGTTCCTAAGACTGGAGGTAACTGATACATGTCTCCCACAGCAATAACTGAAACACCAGCAAAAGCAGTTTGATCGCGTGATTGTTTTATTTGTCGTAGGCGGCCGTGAATGTAAGACATTAACTTTTGATCTACCATTGATACTTCATCTATGATTAAAATTTGCAATTCAGCCAGCTTATTTCGAAGGACACTTATTTTCTCATCACTCAGCGGTTGATACAGTACTTGTGCATTGATTGGAATAGAAAGAATACTATGTATAGTATGGCCATTGATATTGTATGCAGCTACTCCGGTTGGAGCCATTTTCAATACTGAGACATCATCAGGATGTGGCAACATTCGGGCTAGTATACGTGTTGCTTCATAGTAAAGACATTTGATCAAATGACTCTTTCCAGTACCAGCACCTCCAGTTAGAAACATATGAAACGGTTCGACAGATTTTCCATTTACTCTATCTAAACACCACTGTCGTATTTTGTAAAAAACACTCTGTTGCTTCTCATTCAAAGACCTCATCAAAGAATGTCCATCTTGTTTGGAAATTTTTACAGAACGTAGTTCGATGCTATAGTCCTCTTTTTTCGCTTCATTCTTTAAATCAGGGATATCAAGATCTCCATCACAATCTTCGACATCTACATTTTCTTTGGGATGTTCAAGTAGCTCTACTTCCTTTTCCGGACATAAAAGACCCCATGCATCTTCGTATGGACCAAATTTGTCAAGATGCTCCTGTGCATGATCAATTGCATCGGCATTCATTTCAAACTTTTTTCGGTTAGTACAGACAATTGACCAGACTTTCTCCAATTCACGTCCACATATTTTCACAGAACCTGTCTCGTAGAACTCTTCATGTGTTTCAAATGTTGGGGGCTTTGATTGTCCATCTTCAAAATATGGCAGAAAGAGTTGCAAAATGCTCAAATAATATTTTTCTGGTGAGATGATGGGTGAGAATCGGGGATATCTTACAACTGCATCTCCTGTACGAGTACGCTTCTGAATATAGCCCAGATCGTTATCTAATTTAAAGACATTTTTACTTCTTGTACTTGGCTTTTGGGATGCAGTTAAGATTCTGTACTGAGAACAAAACGTTGCAAGACACATATCACTGAATTCTGTGTTTCTAGGTCGAGCTTTGTATCTGTCAAGCTTGCTAGGCATCCAAACATTCTCATCATCATCATTATCGTTATCTGGTCTGCTTTTTATAACGCTTAATGGTAAACTCATTCTGACAGGGTTGGGTCCAACAGGAATAAATTCCACTTTCCTAGAACATTCTTTCAATCTGAGACTGCAAACACGATAGACGCTTTCTTGAGCAGACACTTCACGATTTTGCATGTACACCTGGCCAAGTTTTTTCATGCTTTCCTTTGCGTTATCATTTCCCTCTTTCATTTCTGATAGTGTATGACTCAATAGCAATCCGATTTCTCGTTCAGCTTTTGACATGTAGGATACAATATAAGCCACGCATGCAAATACATTTGTTACGAACTGCAAATCCATGTTGGCATTCCAGCTTCTTAGTAGACTTGGATTAAACTGATTTACCCATACATCTTGTATTTTTCTTTTGATGATTATACTTTGTTGTGATGCTAATTCATTATGTGCATTCTCAAATTGATTTTGTGTAATGCCAAGCTTTTCAAAGAGATGGTTTACACTGTTGTACTCGATTCCATTGGATAATGCATCTTTAACTGAATTCAACAATTTCTCTGCATCATCTTTAGTCTTTTCAGAAGCTTTAACTTGATCATTATCATTTTCCTTATTTTGCACTTTCCCACAATCTTTAGCTGGAATCTCTTCAACGGGTGTTACAATGAATGTTTTTCCAGATGGTGGTCTCGGGAAATTAAATCTACATGCCTTCCCTGTTTTTGTGCAAGATTTAGAATGTTTCTTACTGTGTTGTTGGACCTTGCTTACTATTTCATGTAGTTCTTGATCTTCCTTTTCATCCGGTTTCTGGCAACAAATGTATTTATCTACGAATTGTACGACATCATCATCATTATCGATACCCAACTGTGGAGCATTTTGAACCCAGAACAAGGCATGAATGTGAGGGGAACCACGAGCTTGATACTCTACTCTCCAAAATGAATCAACTATTTTACCAATCGGTGCAGCGGGAGATAAAATAACTTTCTTCATAAAAGTGTGAAATCTTTTATCAAACATTCTGGCAACTGTTACTGGATTTGATCTTAAAAGATTACATTTCTCTGTATAGTCTAATTCACTCGATTCCCTGGTGTCTCCTTTTTGTCTAAGCAATGTATTCATTAATTCTGGCCATCTCATATCGGCAGATGAGAAAGAAGCAAACCATGTGGGCTTTCCAAGCTGTCTTACCATTGCGAGAACATCTTTTTGTGTCTTTTGCCAGAATGGAGGTGTTCCACGAATTTGCTTTAAAAATTTATAGCCCTTGTCTGATTTTAGTATTTTTTTAACTTTCTCTGCATCTTTCAAATCTGAGGCAGTTATTGAAGACGAATCATCTTTTTTGTTTGGACTTTGCCTTAATGCGATAGAAACTTGTGATATAACCTGTTGAATTTCATAAATATATTGTGCATAAAAGATATAATCTGTATTCTGAGCAAATCTGTTGTCCACGTGCATCAATCGGTTGTGCAGATAACGTCCCAATGTTATTTTTTCATCTCTTCTATCATGGAATGTTGGTTGACCTTTAGGAAATAATACTGGGAAACATTTGGCCTCATTGCTTTCATCTTGTAGAATTGATACAGGGCTTCTTCCTTCACAAGGAGCACAACATATTATGTCTTCAAAATACTGATCTAATATTTCCTGTCCAATATCTACTGGCTGGAGACACGAGTCTAACTGAATACCGCGTAATCGTTCTTCCATATCGTCTTCAGTGTCATTGTCACCTATTTTTTTTGGTACTTTACTGTTGTCTTGCATGTTTTCATTAGCATTTTTGTCTTTGGACAAAATGTAATCAATTTGTTCTTCCATTTCCTTCCAATATTTGGCTAAACGAGCTTTACCACCGATTTCCACTGCTTCTTCCTTTTCATTATCTTTTTCATTTCGTTCAAGTGAGTTTTCCCATTTATCATTTACTGTAACATCAAAATACCACTTATTATTTGCTTTTAAATACTGCAGAGCATTAAGCAAGTTAGATTTATCTACAAATCTGTACTCATAACAACCTTTGTAAGACAATTTTCTTTTCAGCTTAACACGGATCAATTGATCTTCAGTCTGTGGTCTTGGCAACATATCTACTGTTTCAAAAGTGTTTGAAGGGACACAAACAACTGGGCCATGAACACCATTTTGACCACCTTTGGGCAAAGCCATTAACTTCATAAAAGGGATATGTAGTGCAATCAAATGCTGTTCTAGAGTGTTTAAGTTGGCAAGTTCTTCTGGGACTTGATGTAATTGTAAATTATTTATGTTTGCTTCTCCAGGTACTTTTCCAGACCGCAACTTTCTGTGACAATTGTGGCATATCCACAGTGATGATCTGGCTGACTGGCGTATTTGACATTCTGATCTGCATTCTGAATTGCAAACATGCAAATATTTTTCACTTATACATGTCTGAAGTTTATAATTGGTCTTCATACATTTTATTACTTGGTTCTCAAAGAGAAGTTTAAAGCAAACACAGCAAACAAATTCTGGACCATGAGAAATAATCTTCCTAAACTCCTGTAGTACATTATCAAACTCGGACATTTTGAATTTATTAACTAGAGCTCTTTTAAGATTCTGTTTCATTACTTTTTGTCTATATTTTTCTATTTTTTTATATTTAATATTTAACCTCATCAGTATCTTTTCCCTTAGTTTCTTATTTGTGTATCTAGTTTGGGACAGGGATTTCATAGCTGTCTTTTGTTTTTGTTTAAAATGCATATCCTCCAAGTATCTCTTTCTCATGCTTATTTTCATAGAAGCCTTTTTTTGTTGTTTAAAATGCATATCCTCCAAGTATCTCTTTCTCATGCTTATTTTCATAGAAGCCTTTTTTTGTTGTTTAAAATGCATATCCTCCAAGTATCTCTTTCTCATGCTCATTTTCATAGAAGCTTTTTGCTTTTGTTTAAAATTCTTGTTGTTATGGTACATATGCTTCATTTTATTTCGCATGGTGGTTTTTAAATTTTCTTTGAACTGTTCATTTGTCCTATATTTCTGTTTATTTAAATCAAGAGTTTTTTGTTTATACCGTTTATCAGAGTGATATTTTTCTTTCATAGAAGTGACCTGTTTTTTCCTAAAACTTGGATCTTGTTTGTACTTTCTGTTCTGTCTTTGTTTGTTATAACTTGCCTTCTTTGAATTGCATGATGAATCAGTGTCTTTCTCTTCCCTGTATTTTTGTTTTACTTGATTTTTTTTGGTCATTTTCCAGATTACATCATGATGATATTTATCCCTCTCCATAATTGATCTCTTCATTTTACGTATGTTTGCATTGAGAACTTGCTTTTTTTTCTTACTATTTCTGTCTATTGCCTTTGTCACAGCTCGTCTTTCTCTCATTCGCTCTTTATTGTTATTCTTTTTTCGATTATAATTTTTTCTTTTACGTTTTTTCCTTGAATTGTCAGCATTTGAATTTTGTTTTGTTTCAGTAGTCTTTCCTTGCTTGAAATTTTCACATAAATTTCCACTTGTTTTTTTCACATCATCGTCTTTTCTTTTCCCCAATTTAGTTTTTAGAACTTCATTACCAAGGTCAACATCGACTTTTGCATCATTTTCAATGTTACTCAATTTTCGTTTTTTGCTTAAAGTTGAGTTGGACTTCTGAACTTTGTCTGCTGGATTCAATTTATTTGAGTCATTTGCACACTTGGTACAATTTTTTGAGTCTCCTTTTTGTTCATTTACATATTCTGTATTTATAGAGTCATTTCCGTTCAGAAGACAACTATTATTTAGCTGTGGTTCTTTTAGTTTGGTTAAGGTAATTGTCACACTCTTCAGTTTTAATTCCTGACCGTTATAATGTACATCATGAATGATTGTTTCATTTGCTTCTTCAGGGAAGACAAATACATTTGGGTTATCAATCATCTTTTGTGGGGAAACACTCTCATCCAATATTTGAACTTCATCAAAGCTTTCACAATGTATGGAACATCCAGAGCTTCCAGACTGACTTTCACTGTGCGTATTTGACGAAGGAATTGGATTACAAACAAAATCCTGTAACTGTGGATAGCCTTTCAAGGTTTCATTCTTACCGGAAGTTGCTTTAGCACATACACTAGTTACTTCATATTCGGTGTGCAGGGGGCATCCCATTGATTTTGCTAACCTCATGCAATGCTTGTACACACCTTGCCAGCTTTGAGTACGAAGTACAACACTGTGTCCGTTACAACTCAGGAAACCTCGACTGCTTCTGGAATGTGAATCAAATATAAAGAAACCATCTTGACCAGATAATACAATGAAAGTACTTCTAGCAAATGTCACAAAACATGCATCAGAATCAGTACAGAGTTCTTTTTTGAGTCCTTGCTTCAATGTCATCGAAAGAGACTGGGCCAATATCAATTCATCTCCATCTAACAATCCAGTGACTGGTTCACGGCGTACTATGTTAAACAATTCATTGTACGCATCCAAATATTCAAATAGATCAGATATCAATAAGTATTGGTTGTCGAGTGAAGTGGATCGCCGTATGTAACAGTATAATTCATTACCGTTATTCAAAATCCTGTCTAGATCTGTACTTTTCCAATCATTGGCATTTTTTACCTTGCTATACAACAGTGCAGAAAGTGAATTGGTAACACACTGCTTTCCACTTAAGTCACCAAATCTTGTATCACCTTGATTGAATGTCCCTTGGGCAACAAGCGTTATTTGTGTATCGACTCTCGTGCATTTGTCTTTGTGATCACTTTCAAGGATTTCGTCCTTGGTGTTACGTTCGTTGTGAACGACTGATTCAGACTGATTACTTGCACACTGTTCATATGTCATGTCCAAAAGATTTGCAGTACCTTTCCTCTCATCGTGATTTATCGTACCAGTCTCCAACGTGAGCCTACGTTTTTTTCCGTTTGGATCAACATGGTTTTGAAATGTTTCAGGAGACTTATCCACTACTTCATCAATTTCTTCCACTATCTGCGACTTGGATCTACACTTCTTCAACACATGCTTTACTTTAACATCAGCCTGAATTGATTGACATGGCAAAGTTCTCTTTGACGTTCTATCTTCTTTAGTTGTTCTTGTCTGTTCCAATGAATTGAAATTGACAAAATCTACAGATTCAACAACATTAAAATGAACATTTCCTGTGTACAGTATATAAATTCCCTTATCAGATGTAACAATATTGATTCTTCCAGGTTTCTTTGCGGAGTACAATTGCCAACATGGTACTTGGTCATTGTATGAATAAATATCAGTATCGATTAAATTTGCTAAAGCGCTAATTTCAGTGTCTGTAGCCCACGTTCCGTCTTCCTTTATTCTACGTTTCAAAACATATTCTCTGACTGTTCTATATTCTTGCCTCAATGTATTACTAAACATGTCCTTGGTTTGCAATAAATGTTTCACAGTGGCATTTCTTAGAATTGCATGATTACGCTCAGTTCCAGAAATTACATAGGAAATTGCACGAAAGAAACAATTGCCATCACCAGTAATTTGTTTACTCTGTAAAGGAACTCCAATAGAGCTATTTCTATCTAACCTTGAATCACAGCCTTTGCCTTTATATCTGATATTCAGTTTTGAACAAATGTTCTGTTTGTCATTATTCTGGAGGGGTACAAATTTGAAATCTTTATCTGGTCTATCACGTAATCCAAGATCTGCTACAAATTCAACTTCTGTTTCTGTTTCATCAGTACATGTGTACATATTAGCATCTATTGCCTTTTCAATGTCTTCATCTTTGATATTTGAATCTGAAGAAGATTCTAAAGGATTCCTTGAATGAGCATGATCCTTAAATGACATACCAGTATCATTGTCTGTACCATCTTTTACTGTATCAAAGCTTTTATTCTTCAGGTCATTGTCAAACACTGCATCTTCTGGTACACCATCTGAAACATATGAAAAATCATTTTTCATCATATCATCATTTTCCAATACCAATTCACAGACACTGTCTACTGGTTCATTTCTGGGCATATCAATTGGTCTATCACAAACATTGAAAGGCATATTGCGTTCTGGTAAAACACTTCTATCGAATAAATCACATCCAGGACTTGTGTCTGTATCACTATCAGATTCTATACATTTTCTTGCACACGAACGTTTCACTGGTATATGAACATCACTGCCACTATCATCGTCTGTTTCAATTTCCCTATTTTCATCAAAATTTGATTTCAACAGATTATTCTTTGAATCGTCCTGCACAACTCTATCTGAACCTTTGTTGTCTTTCATATTGCAAATATGCTGGTCTGAGTGTTCATCATTTTTACATGTATTTGGATCAAGTCCTTTGTCACTTGCATTCATAGATTTCTTTGTATCCAGCTTCTCATTCTTTACTGCTAATTCTATTCCTTCATCTTTGTCAAATCTAATCTCTGATTTATCACAAGAGTGATTTCCATCAGTGCCTTTTTTCCCGGCTTTGGAAGACTGACCTTTCATGTTCCTTTTTCGACCTCTTCCTCTTTTACCTCCTGCGTAGACTCTGTATCGTCTCAAATCCTGCATCTTTTCCAGAATGTTGCAAGTTCTTTGGTTAGAGCGTTGATCAGAATCTGGTTTTGACAATGGAGACAAACTAGCAGTTACGTCAGCGTATGATTGATTTTGCATTCTTTCCATTTCTTCACAGGCTTCATTGTAAACCTTCATAGAATGTAGAGATTGCACACTGCAAGCATAAATGCTCAATAGATTTTCTGCATAGGATTGCACACTGACATCTTCTTCTTCATTTTTCATTTTCTGCTTCACCTTACACTCTTTTTTGTGTACTGTGTTTTTTCTCTTACGACTCCCATAAAATGTCTTGAATGCTTTGCCAATGTAGGTAACACCTGGTTCCAACAATACACCCTGAATTGATCTTTTCTGCCTTTTGTCCTGTTCATTTTCTTCTTTTGAATTTGAATGCAATCTTTCTTCTCTTTTTCTTGCCATCAGTTTTGCTCTCTTGCATTTCACTTTCACCCATTTATCGTCAACTTCTTCATTGAGCAAGTTTTGATCTATGAAATGAGACAGATTGTCTGTTACACCATTTTCATATCTGCTACATGGCTCTGCAAACAGCGTGCTCCTTTTTACTTTAACATACCTCTTCTTTGATGTCCTTACTCGTCTTGTCTGTTTGAAGATCTCCATGTTCTCATCGTCATTGTCATCATCATCTGCTGACATGAGAGGCTCATATCTGTTATAATGAGATGGAATACATACTTTGTCAAATATTCGATCGCCAATATTGCTATGACCACAGCATGAGCAAATCCAAATCAATCTCTGGTCAGCAAGTTTGTCATTGTTCAAGTATTCCTCACATGTCACATGGAAATGGTTGGTACAAGACTCGCATGTTACATAGTTGTCACTTTTATTGATCTTATCCATGCAATAACATTCATCAACATCTGTGTTGATCATCGATGTGTAACTGGAAAGCATGCTTAGAATCTCATGAACAATAGAGCTGAATTGAGTGGCAGCCATTTTCAATCTCTTTATCGCAATAGGCATAAAATGCACAATATTAAAAGTTTACAGTCTAATTAGTAATATTCAAATAAATGCCTTGATGTGTTTTGGATGTACAAGAAGGTAATACTTTTAAAGATTTCACGTACGAATCTTTGTATCTATTCTGCAATATATCTCTTCAAAGTGCAATACTTTATTAAAAACTTTTAGTTCCCTGACAATTTTTAAAATCTGTTTGTCAATGAAGCAGACTCGCAAGTGGACTCTGTTACTCTCGATGCAAAATTGTTTATCCCCTTTTCACACTTAAGGGTTTATTATAATGTTATTTTCCTTGTAATAAAAGTCACTTAATACAAACACTGAATATCTTATCAAAATTTCCTTCAACTCTCTTCTTTATCAACAAACTTTAGTTAATTACTTGAATATTAGTTATATTAACACGTTTCCTACTCTCGATGAAACTACTTAAGCTTATATGTTTTTCCTAAACCTTGTTCTCTTACTTCAATTTTTCTACTTTTGTTATTTATCAAGCTCACTTTAAAAAAAAGAAAAGAAAATCTGTGATCAAATATTTTTTTTCCAACCACTCAAGCCCACTTGTATTTTTCTACCTTGATCTCTTTAATAATTTCCTTATTCTTTTTATTTATCACGCTCCCTTCTTTTCTCCAAAACTCTGTAAATGATAAAATACCTTCTCTGCAACTTCTCAAGCCCACTTGTATATCTGAACCTTATTCTCTTCAATTTTCCTCACCCTTTTTTTCTTTTTTTTTAATATGTTCAACTTATCAAAGACACCTCCTTTTCTCTAAACTCTGTAAGTTCTGGACTTTATTCTCTTACTTCAACTTTTCTCACGCTTTTGTAATTAATCAAGCTTACCTCTTTCTTAAATTAAAAAAAAAAGTGTCATCAAATATCCTCTATCAAAGTTCTTAAGCCCACTTTATTTCTCAATCTTGTTCTCTGGCTTTAATTTTCCTCACGAATATGTAATTTACCAAGTTCCGGTCTTTTTATTCTAAAAACTCTCTAATCAAATATTTTCTTTCCAACCACCTAAGCTCACTTGTATTTACGTTTCCTCTTACTTCAATTTTCCTCAATCTTTTTGTAATTTATCAGGGATTTTTTAAACAAAATCTGTGAATGATCAAATACCCTCTCTGCAACTACTCAAGCCCACTTGTATCTCTGCACTTAATTCTCTTCAATTCTCCACACTTGACTTCAGTATGTATAATTTATCAGTCACTTCCTTTTTTTTTTCTAACTCTATAAACTTTTGAACCTTACTCTCTTCAATCGTCCTCACTCTTTGTAATTTAAAGCTTACTCCTTTCTTTAAAAAAACCTCTCTGTAATAAAATATGCTCTTTCAAACTACTCAAGGTTACTTGTTCTCTTGACTTCAATTTTACTCACTCTCTTTGTAATTTTTCAAACTCACTGCTTTTTCTTTTAACTTAAAAACCTCTGTAATCAAATATCTTCTATCCAACTACTCTAGTTCACTTGTATTTCTAAACCTTCTTTTCTTTCTTCAATTTTCCCCACCCCTTTTTCAATTTTACCACGCTTACTTCCTTTTAAAAAAAATCTGTAAACGATCAAATATCCTGCTTTTCTTCTGATTAATTAATCTTATCACTGGTTAATGAATTTCCAATACGCTCACCCAAAGTTCTTTGTAAGCAAACACACTTTATTGTATCCCTACAACTGAAAATATCCCAAGTTTGTTTCCCACTTTTTGCAAACTTGCCTTTTATTTCTCAAAACTGTAATTTGATAAATTGTATTTATTCCTATCAAGCCTGTTTGTTTTTCTAACACACTGTCCCTGTTATTGCTTATTTATCCAGGAGTCTCACCTGGTTCCTGTTATTGCTTATTTATCCAGGAGTTTCACCTGGTTCCTGTTATTGCTTATATATCCAGGAGTCTCACCTGGTTCCTGTTATTGCTTATATATCCAGGAGTTTCACCTGCTTCCTGTTATTGATTATATATCCAGGAGTTTCACCTGGTTCCTGTTATTGATTATATATCCAGGAGTCTCACCTGGTTCCTGTTTTCTTTTTCAGATATTTCTTTTCTTTTTCGGATTTTTTTTCTGTGGATTCTTTATACAACTCTACCACGGTCTCCCGTGGGTGAAATGTGATGAAATGGATAAAGACGCACACCCTTCTTGAGTGTGGGACACTCTCTTCTGAGAGCAGGATCTCTTCTGAGATTAGGAAAAGAGGTGAGATGAAGGTTCTTTGGTTCAAATGTATACAATGAAAAGATGTCAACATAAAACAATTACTTTTCCAGGAGACAAACACAAACACATAAGTGACAGCCAGACACCTGTAACGAGAGGGGGTAAATATTAAAAGGTTTGTTAAAATGAAAAGGAGCATCATCCATCTTTCAGAAGGCAAAAATTTTAACGTTTGTGAGGTAAGATTATGCTACAATACATTCAAGATAGTTCAAGTTCAAGTGCTAGTTCAAATACAAGTTCAAAATAGTTCAAGATGGTTCAAATAGTTCAAGATAGTTCAAATAGTTCAAGATGGTTCAAGATAGTTCAAGATAGTTCAAGTGCAAGTGCAAGTTCAAGTGCTAGTTCAAGTGCAAGTTCAAGTGCAAGTTCTTTGGATAGTTCAAGATAGTTCAAAATAGTTCAAGATAGTTCAAATAGTTCAAGATAGTTCAAGATAGTTCAAGTGCAAGTTCAAGTGCTAGTTCAAGTGCAAGTTCAAGTGCAAGTTCAAGTGTAAGTTCAAGTGCAAGTTCAAGTGCAAGTTCTTTGGAGAGTTCTTTCGAGAGTAAACCCTCGCGATGTAAACAGAATAGCAACACTCATTAACTGTCCAACAGTAAGAGCTCTATTCACCTCTGCCTCCTTGCTTCTGTCTCAGTAACTGTCCAACAGTAACAGCTCTATTCACCTCTTCCTCCTTGCTTGTCTCTCAATAACTGTCCAACAGTAACAACTCTATTTACCTCTGCCTCCTTGCTTCTCTCTCATTAACTGTCCAACAGTAAGAGTTCTATTCACCTCTGCCTCCTTGCTTCTGTGTCAGTAACTGTCCAACAATAAGAGTTCTATTTACCTCTGCCTCCTTGCTTCTCTCTCATTAACTGTCCAACAGTAAGAGTTCTATTCACCTCTGCCTCCTTGCTTCTGTGTCAGTAACTGTCCAACAGTAAGAGCTCTATTCACCTCTGCCTCCTTGCTTCTGTCTCAGTAACTGTCCAACAGTAACAGCTCTATTCACCTCTTCCTCCTTGCTTGTCTCTCAATAACTGTCCAACAGTAACAACTCTATTTACCTCTGCCTCCTTGCTTCTCTCTCATTAACTGTCCAACAGTAAGAGCTCTATTCACCTCTGCCTCCTTGCTTCTGTGTCAGTAACTGTCCAACAATAAGAGTTCTATTTACCTCTGCCTCCTTGCTTCTCTCTCATTAACTGTCCAACAGTAAGAGTTCTATTCACCTCTGCCTCCTTGCTTCTGTGTCAGTAACTGTCCAACAGTAAGAGCTCTATTCACCTCTGCCTCCTTGCTTCTGTCTCAGTAACTGTCCAACAGTAACAGCTCTATTCACCTCTTCCTCCTTGCTTGTCTCTCAATAACTGTCCAACAGTAACAACTCTATTTACCTCTGCCTCCTTGCTTCTCTCTCATTAACTGTCCAACAGTAAGAGCTCTATTCACCTCTGCCTCCTTGCTTCTGTGTCAGTAACTGTCCAACAATAAGAGTTCTATTTACCTCTGCCTCCTTGCTTCTCTCTCATTAACTGTCCAACAGTAAGAGTTCTATTCACCTCTGCCTCCTTGCTTCTGTGTCAGTAACTGTCCAACAGTAAGAGCTCTATTCACCTCTGCCTCCTTGCTTCTGTCTCAGTAACTGTCCAACAGTAACAGCTCTATTCACCTCTTCCTCCTTGCTTGTCTCTCAATAACTGTCCAACAGTAACAACTCTATTTACCTCTGCCTCCTTGCTTCTCTCTCATTAACTGTCCAACAGTAAGAGCTCTATTCACCTCTGCCTCCTTGCTTCTGTGTCAGTAACTGTCCAACAATAAGAGTTCTATTTACCTCTGCCTCCTTGCTTCTCTCTCATTAACTGTCCAACAGTAAGAGTTCTATTCACCTCTGCCTCCTTGCTTCTGTGTCAGTAACTGTCCAACAGTAAGAGCTCTATTCACCTCTGCCTCCTTGCTTCTGTCTCAGTAACTGTCCAACAGTAACAGCTCTATTCACCTCTTCCTCCTTGCTTGTCTCTCAATAACTGTCCAACAGTAACAACTCTATTTACCTCTGCCTCCTTGCTTCTCTCTCATTAACTGTCCAACAGTAAGAGTTCTATTCACCTCTGCCTCCTTGCTTCTGTGTCAGTAACTGTCCAACAATAAGAGTTCTATTTACCTCTGCCTCCTTGCTTCTCTCTCATTAACTGTCCAACAGTAAGAGTTCTGTTCACCTCTGCCTCCTTGCTTCTGTGTCAGTAACTGTCCAACAGTAAGAGCTCTATTCACCTCTGCCTCCTTGCTTCTGTCTCAGTAACTGTCCAACAGTAACAGCTCTATTCACCTCTTCCTCCTTGCTTGTCTCTCAATAACTGTCCAACAGTAACAACTCTATTTACCTCTGCCTCCTTGCTTCTCTCTCATTAACTGTCCAACAGTAAGAGTTCTATTCACCTCTGCCTCCTTGCTTCTGTGTCAGTAACTGTCCAACAATAAGAGTTCTATTTACCTCTGCCTCCTTGCTTCTCTCTCAGTAACTGTCCAACAGTAAGAGTAGATCTATCAAATCTGAAATGGAAAGATTCAAACACCACATTACATCCCAAACTGCTACTTAGACCGAAATCAATAACTTTTGTAAGAACCAACAGTTCAGAAATAATGTTAATATCAATATTTTGTTTAGGTACAGTACTTCAATGCATTTTCATTTTAAGCTCTTTTCCTGTTTCAAATTGTACCATTTCTGTAATGACATTATCATGGGTGGTGGCACAACATAAATTTTTAACTGACCAATGTCTAAACCTCATCTACTTTGTGGATGACTTTTCAGTTTAAACAAGGCATTAGCGATGTTGTGTCTCGCCCACTTGTGAAAATAACTAGAATATCGCAATGTCCATTGCCATCTATAAGAATTGTAGGGCCTATCGCAAGCTGATTTTGAAATATCTGCCATAGAATGCAACATCCCATAAACTTTGAGAAGGGGTATTACATGATATGCTACTGCCTTTCACCTGCTTCCACTGCATCTACTCCCTCCCCCTTTGATACGAGTAGAATTATTGCATTGATATTTTACATGTGTGAAGGTAAAATGTGTTTGTGTTTGTAGTGTAGCTGAGGTTGCAGGTAAACTTTAACGCTTGACCTCAAATGACTTTTGACCTCTCTATGTGCCAATGTTCAACCTGTGACTCCCCCCCCCCCCCCCCCCCCCCCCCCCCCACACACTCCAGCAAAACATAGAGAGTCATAGACAGAAATAACCGTCTGGTGTGGGTCATTTCTTTAATCAAACTGACATTTGTTGATTAAAAGCACTAGAAATAAAAAAAGAAAAGACAAAAACAATTGCATTTTATAAAAAACCAATATGAATATATTACAAAAATAAATACAAATAGTGAGCCCTCATTCAAGACCAGTTTTGGTCATGCGATTGCATTGCGAAAAAAACGTTGTGAAATCGCTCACAAAAGGTTGATCATCTAGCATATACGGTAAGTATTGGTGTGTACTGAAAGGTTCTGGATCATCAAAATGATGAGAAATTTGACCCAGTCATGGTAAAGTTACAAGCACTGTACACAGAAAGATGTATATGGGACTATGCGACACATGCGCAATATCTATCCACTCCGGATAGATATAATAATTTACCAAATATATCAATTAGTATCAAAATTTGTATCATCAGGTATTAGTCAAAACATATTCTTTCACATGATTGTTAAAAAAAGGTACCATTTCATTTTTTGAGAGGGGGGCTTTTCCAAAACTGGTCTATACCTTTACTGACATAATTAAAAGTAACTTGGTAGTGTCAAAAAGTTATATAGAAAATTTCTTAAAGCCATAGCTTTCGTATTCTGCATTCAATTGTTCCCAATTATGCGGATCTGTTTCATTCCATCATAGCTTTAATTTAAAAACTACTTGACTTCAGCCTTTCTAAGCATATCAACTTACTTTCTGCAACTCTCTCTTCAACTCTCAGTAACCTAAAATACAAACAAAACAAAACAAAAAATTACATTTAATAAAATACCAATATCAATATATTACAATAAATACAAATAATGAGCCCTCATTCATAATGCTAAATGACATAAATAAAACAAGTCAACGCAAAGCATAGCATCCCCTCGCAGGGTACATACTGGGAAATCAAACTAAGGCCATGTTTTGATGCCATGTACTTTCATATCAAATTTGATTAAAATCCGTCAAACATTACTAAAGTTATCGATATCAGAAACCAGATTCGCATATTTAATGAGCTATGACCTTTGACCTACATACTCCGAAATTGAACTTATGCTGTGTTTTTATACCATGTACCTTCATATCGAATTTCATGAAAATCCATCAAATAATACTAAAGTTATCAAACAGAAACCAGATTCACATATTTAATGAGCTATGACCTTTGACCTACATACTGGGAAATCAAACTTAGGCCGTGTTTTGATGCCATGTACCTTCATATCAAATTTGATTAAAATCTGTCAAACATTACTAAAGTTATCGATTGGAAACCAGATTCGCATATTTAATGAGCTATGACCTTTGACCTACATACTCGGAAATTGAACTTATGCTGTGTTTTTATACTATGTACCTTCATATCGAATTTCATGAAAATCCATCAAATAATACTAAAGTTATCAAACAGAAACCAGATTCGCATATTTAATGAGCTATGACCTTTGACCTACATACTCCGAAACTGAACTTATGCTGTATTTTGATAGCATGTACCTTCCTATCAAATTTCATTAAAATCCGTCAAACATTACTAAAGTTATCGAATAGAAACCAGATTTGCACATTTAATGAACTATGACCTTTGACCTACATACTCCGAAACTGAACTTAGGCCGTATTTTGATAGCATGTACCTTCATATCAAATTTGATTAAAATCTGTCAAACATTACTAAAGTTATCGATTGGAAACCAGATTCGCATATTTAATGAGCTATGACCTTTGACCTACATACTCGGAAATTGAACTTATGCTGTGTTTTTATACTATGTACCTTCATATCGAATTTCATGAAAATCCATCAAATAATACTAAAGTTATCAAACAGAAACCAGATTCGCATATTTAATGAGCTATGACCTTTGACCTACATACTCCGAAACTGAACTTATGCTGTATTTTGATAGCATGTACCTTCCTATCAAATTTCATTAAAATCCGTCAAACATTACTAAAGTTATCGAATAGAAACCAGATTTGCACATTTAATGAGCCATGACCTTTGACCTACATACTCGGAAATTGAACTTATGCTGTGTTTTTATACTATGTACCTTCATATCGAATTTCATGAAAATCCATCAAATAATACTAAAGTTATCAAACAGAAACCAGATTCGCATATTTAATGAGCTATGACCTTTGACCTACATACTCCGAAACTGAACTTATGCTGTATTTTGATAGCATGTACCTTCCTATCAAATTTCATTAAAATCCGTCAAACATTACTAAAGTTATCGAATAGAAACCAGATTTGCACATTTAATGAACTATGACCTTTGACCTACATACTCCGAAACTGAACTTATGCTGTATTTTGATAGCATGTACCTTCATATCAAATTTGATTAAAATCTGTCAAACATTACTAAAGTTATCGATCGAAAAACCAGATTCGCATCGAACAGAAACCAGATTCGCACATTTAATGAGCTATGACCTTTGACCTACTTACTCCGAAATTGAACTTATGCGGTGTTTTTATACCATTTAGACTACCTTCATATCAAATTTCATTAAAATCCGTCAAACATTACTAAAGTTATTGATTTTAAACCAGATTTGTTAATGCACACAGAAGGAAGGTCGGGCTTCGACAGCGAGTAGCATAATACAGGGTCAGGGGTCTAGATCCCCTCCTTCTTTGGCGAGGGGATAATTATTATCCCATGACTTTTACAAGCCGATCGCCTGTCAGCTGTGACCTGTCTAATTATCAACTAGCCTATCAAGATATTTATGATTGGAATTAGAAATTAATAGATCTAGACTAGATCTAGGTCTAGTCTAGATCTATGATCTAGGCCTATAGTCAGATATAGGCCTAGTATCTAGATCTAGTAGGCCTAGGCCTAGATCCCTACCGACTTACGGTTTTTAATTTATAACACTGACTTAGATCTAGATCTAGAACTAGGTCTAGATCTAGACTAGGACAGGTCTACGGTCTACACTCTAGTGGGGGAAATGAGTATGGTAAAACCGGTCAATCAAAGTCAAACTGAGTCAAAGATTTTCACTTTTTTGAAACACTTCCTTTTCGTTTTTCGTAGGGCTTCAAAATTCAATCACAATCACACTCAGCTCACTGAGCTGATATGATAACACGCAGACTCTATGTATACGGTACGTAAGATGTATCGCATCTCAGACTTGATTTGTACTAAAACTGCAAACATAATATTATAAACAAAGCCAATGCCTTTAAAAGTTTAAATACACTCACACACTTATGCGATAACGCAAAATCTCCAACAAACTAATAAGAAAGGATTCACGATAAAGTAATACAATAGCAACAACCGAATTCTTACCAAAACGCTAGCAATCAGCACAACAGCACAACTATAAAACAGCAGTAGATCTAGGCCTACTCAGAACTCATATGACCATGATCATGAGAATGTGCATGCAATTCGAATCGGCCAAAATCTTGGTCAGATTAAATTCGCCCTACAGACAATTCGCCCAGTATATTTCTCGCGCATATAATTTCTCACGAAATGCATGATTTTGCGTGTTTAAGGGAAAAGGAATGTCAAAACAATGGATATCTGATACCTTGTCGTTTAGGCCATGTAAAAAGAATATACATGTTTAGCGTCCCCGCCCGCTTCCTTTTTGGGGGCCGCCTCCTATTATTTTTTTGATTATTATTATTTATTTTTTTTGATTTTTTTTTTTTTTTTAGAGAAAAAAAACATAAAATGTCGGCGGCCATCTTGAAAAGTAGCCCGACTGACAGGGAAAATGTACCGAGCAGCCATTTTGAGCGGCCATTTTGAAAGAAAAAAAAAAAAAAAAAGGGCCTCCCCCTTCCTATTTTTCCTAAAAACAGGACGCTAAACATTTTTTATTTTTTTTTTATTTGGCCTTATTCCATTGCTCCTTAATTTTCTCTAGCTCTTTCCGTTGCCTAGCTTTGGCTAGCTTTGTATTCTTATTTCACGTGCGTATACCTACCACCATTTCCTTATCCTCGATCTCCCGCTAGCTCTCTCCTTCCAAGATATGCGCATTTCTGATTCCTCGATCTTTCATCCCTCTGTCCAGCTCATGTATTTTTACATGACTATAACGTACCGTCTTCCTCTTTCCTTCTCTTTATTTATATCTCACCATTTTTCATTTTGATGACGTCATCATAGTGAAAATTTCGATTAAATGCGACATGTCAGAATTTTCGTAATTTGCGTGTCATGCCTATACCGAAGGTGACTTTTTCTGAAATCTGGATTCTACATTCCTGTCTTTTGCGAGCAATATCGCCATTATTTCTGCTTGGTTTTTGTTGATTTTTGAGTATGTTGTAGCTGAGACTATATGTTATCTAAATGTCCCCTCATTTTTTCAATCAGATGTCAGGATCACGCTCATGATCATCATTATCTTAATGATGATGATGATCATCATCATGGTCTGAAATCTGGATTCTACATTCCTGTCTTTGGCGAGCAATATCGCCATTATTTCTGCTTGGTTTTTGTTGATTTTTGAGTATGTTGTAGCTGAGACTATATGTTATCTAAATGTCCCCTCATTTTTTCAATCAGATGTCAGGATCACGCTCATGATCATCATTATCTTAATGATGATGATCATCATCATCATGGTCTGAAATCTGGATTCTACATTCCTGTCTTTGGCGAGCAATATCGCCATTATTTCTGCTTGGTTTTTGTTGATTTTTGAGTATGTTGTAGCTGAGACTATATGTTATCTAAATGTCCCCTCATTTTTTCAATCAGATGTCAGGATCACGCTCATGAATGATCATCATCGATCACTATCATGATGATCATCATCAATATCATCATGATCATCATCATCATATCATCATCAAAATCATCAGGATCATGATCATGCATGATCATCAACATCATCATCATCATCATTAACATTATCATTATAATCATCATCATCATCATCACCATTACTATCAAGATCATCATCTTCATCATCATTATGATCATCATTGTTTACATGTACATGTCTATATAATTTCTCTCTTAATTTCTCTATATGGGAGATGACTTTTCTCAAATCTGGATTCTACATTCCGTTCTTTTGCGAGTAATATCGCTGTTATTTCCACTTGGTTTTTGTTGATTTTTAAGTATTTTGTAGCTGAGACTATATGCTATCTAAATGCATGTCTCTCTCATTTTTTCAATCAGATGTCAGCATGATCATGATCATCATCAATATATTATATCATCATCATCATCACGGGCGTCTCCAACAATTTTTCTTCTTCCCTTTCTTTTTCTTTTTGACCTTTCACTGTACCATCTCCTTTGAATATTAACACGTATATCGCAAATAATGTAATAAACAACCATATTTACTTTATTATTACCCTATTATCACTTGATCCATTACTTTTTGCGTGTAATCCTTATGGGAGATGACTTTTTCTCAAAATCTCTACATTCTTGTCTTTTGCGAGCAATATCGCCTTTATTTTGGCTTGATTTTTGATTTTTGAGTATGTTGAAGCTGAGACTATATACTATCTAAATGTTCTCTCATTTTTTTCAGTCTGTCATCATGGTCTAGCTGTTGATGATAATCATCAACATCATCATCATCATCATCATCATCGATCGTCATCATCATTACTATCAAGATCATCATCATCATGATCATCATGATGATGATCATTCTTTACATGTCTATATAACTTCTCCCTTTCTCAATATACAAAATATTATAATCTATCATAAGACTTGAAAACAGACCACCTTAATCGTCCTCGTGACGATTTAAAATCTAGTTTCTTATTTACTTTACTTTAATACTTTGAAGGCAGGTAGGAGAATACGATCAACGTAACTTGGTATGTAACGGTCATTGACCTTTAAACATACTGATTAATTATTACCGGCACATTTTAACGGCGATTCTAGATATCTTGGTCATTAGAGCTGAAGTCTCTGACCAACGAGATAGGTGTCATGTCCAAAGCGTCAATTATGTATGTATTTAATTTTCTTTTTTTTTCTTTTTAAATTTATATTGGC